AAATAAAATTTCTTTATAGATATTAATTCAGAAATATTGTGATTAGGTCCTTGATCATCTTGTGACCTTAGCACTTGGATTAAGCCTTCTTTCCTGTGCGATTAAGGTAAGTAAATTATGGTAACGCCCTCTGATTTTAAAGCACATTTTAGCTTGTTTTTGAATTGGTGGCGGGACTAAACCCGTTTTACACAAGTATGATCGATTTGAAATAAGATTATTATTCTTTTTATTGATTTGAGCATACCTGCTTGGAGTTTATTTAACTGCCCTGATGATCTGAAAATTATTTGTAAATTATGATTTTCCTGTTAACTTCTGCCTGTTTTGTCTCTGATATGGTCATGTTATTCGTGTGCCCGCTAGTGGAAGGTTTATAAACGCTAGCACATGTCGACATGTTACTGATAGAACCGGTTCGTTTTTGTTATCCTACTAGTGGGATTATACACTAGTAATCGTGTGCCTGCTAGTGAGAGGTTTATAACACTAGTCATGACTAATAGAGGAGACCACTATTTAATTTTATTCTGCATTAATGGTTTGTTATTGAGACGCTCTGTTTATGTTTCAATTGTTTATTTGGCATGCTTTAAATTTTGATCCCGGGCATCCATATTTACTTACTGAGATATTTTATCTCACAGTTTTCTTTGTCCACCATTTCAGGTAGTGAGACCCGACGCATGGGGAGCCCGGGGGAGTGACGAGCTAGACGGCTAGGCATTATTTGGACTTAGGTTTTTTGTAGTTAGGCCGCTAGTCCTCGATGCTGACTCAGAAATTTTTGTGTATAGTACTCCCGTAGTTATAGTCATGATTGTATAAATGAAGTTATAAATTCTTGTATATTTTGACCAGTAAATATTTAGAAGAAAAGAGAGAAACTAGATATTACCTGAGTTTCTAAATCTGAATTATCTAAATTAGTAATTATGAACTTAGTAAGTTTCGAGCCTTGTGCATTGTGGGACCCGTTCCCGAGTGCACGGCGTCTGTTTCGCTCTTGGTTTTGGGGCGTGATAAATTTTGTGGTATCAGAGCCTAGGTTTAATTAAGTGCTTAGGATTAGTTTAGAACTTGACTACCAAATGAATGATAGGAACGTGGTGAGGCATAAGAGTGGGGTTGATTAAGGGTGCTTATCTAATTCTTTCCTTAATGTGTGTTGGTTTTCTTTGTTTGATATTTTTGTGTTGCTTGGTCCTGGAAGTGGAACTTGCTGGGAAATTTCTTGTTGGCGCATTTGATTAATAATCTATAAACCTTCTATGTGGTTATAGATGGCCCCAAAATGGCGTGGGTGCTCAAGGGGTGGTCGTAAGGATCAGGACACTCCTTCGATCCCAGATGCTAGTCCCCCTGCCTAAGCTGCTCCGTAGGAGGGAGGGATGAGTAACCCTCAGATAGCCACTTTTGTTCAGGAACTTATGGTAGAAATAAGACGCCAAGCATCTCCTGCCACAAGTGTACCACCTCCATCCCTAGTGGTTTCCACTCCTATGGCCCCTGCTCCAATTTCCCCTGTTCCTATTTCTTCTGCTCTTGTGGTGTCTAGCTGGAAGGTCTATACAGAATTCCAAAAGGTGGTGATCAAGAGATTTGACGGTACCGCGGGTTTTGAGCAGGTGGGGTCGTGGATTACTGAGGTGGGGCGGGGATTCCGCCTATGGAAGATTTCTGATGACCTTAAGGTCGATGTAGGCAGCTATATGCTTACTAGTGAAACATTAACTTGGTGAGAGAATTATTTGAAGCTACACCAAGGAGAGCCTGAATTGAGCACTTGGAATGGCTTTAAAAAGGTGTTCATGCAAGAGTATATACCAGATAGCAAAAGGCGGGAACTGCAAAGGGAATTTGCAGATCTAAAGTAAGGGTCAGGTATTGTTGAGTAGTAAAAGAAGGAGTTCGATCGCTATCTGCCTTTTGTGGGTAGTCAGGTTGGGGATGAGCTAGCTAAGGCTGATAAATTTTTATGGGGCTTGAATCCTGATATTTATCTGGTGGTGAATCAATTCAAATTCGCCACTTATAGAGAGGTTGCGGACAGAGCCATAGATCAAGAGAAGGCTATGGCTAGAGTCAAGTCCTTAAGACAACACAATGTTGGGTCATCCCTTGGGAAGAGAAAATTTGATGGGAGCCGTAGGTCCCTTGTCCTTGCACCGCCTAAGTCTGAGATCAGCAAGGGTTCTAAAGGGCCAGGAGCCACCAAGACTGTGAGCCAGGCATCAACAGCCCAACGTGCTTGTCCTACTTAGCTTACCTGCCATGTTTGTGGGAAAGTGGGGCACACTTGGGATCAGTGCCACACTGTTACTGGGGCTTGCTTCAAATGTGGTAAGCAGGGACACCGGATTGCAAATTGTCCATTGCTAGACCCCAAAGCTCAGAGTACTCAACCTACCTCTCCGTAGAGTTCTACCAGTCAAGGGGCACAGAAACAGAGTACTGGGGTTAGGACAAGAGCCCAGCAGGCGAGAGTGCAAGTGATGACTCACAAGGAAGCTGCGGCCACCGACGTAATCACGGGTACCTTGCCTGTTAACTCTGATTATGCGCATGTTTTATTTGATTCGGGTGCATCGCACTCTTTTATTGCTCGATCTTATGTTTTGAAACGAGCTTTGCCTGTTGATACCTCTGATCTTGAATTGCATGTGGACACCCCTTTAGGAGGGGTGATGACTACTAGGGAGATGTGTAGGACTATGGATATTTATATTGATGGTAGACGGTTGAGTGCTAGTTTGTTTGTTTTAGATATCTCTGATTTTGATATCATTTTAGGGATGGATTGGTTGTCAAAACATTTTGCCTCTATAGACTGCCATCGAAAATGGGTAATTTTTAATATCACTGGTGAGTCAGAATTTAGTTTCCAAGGCAGTGGTTCTTTTGCTCCACCCATGCTAATATCTACCTTGCAGGCTCAGAAATATCTTGTAAATGGTTGCCAGGGTTTCCTAGTCTCCGTGACTGATGCTAGTAGTGTGACATCGAGACTAGAAGACATACCGATGGTGCGTGAGTTTTCGGATGTATTTCCAGAGGATCTCCCAGGTTTACCTCCGGACAGGGAGGTTGAATTTGCTATTGACCTTGTTCTTGGCACGGGACCTATTTCCAAAGCACCATACCATATGGCTCCTGCAGAATTAAAGGAGTTAAAGGTCCAGCTGGAGGAACTCCTTGAAAAAGGGTTTATATGCCTTAGTGTGTCACCTTGGGGAGCTCCAGTGTTGTTCGTTAAGAAGAAGGATGGGAGCATGAGGCTATGCATTGATTACCGAGAATTGAATAAGGTGACTATGAAGAACCGGTATCCCCTTCCTAGAATTGATGACTTGTTTGACCAGCTCAAGGGTGCCTAGGTATTTTCTAAGATTGATCTTCGATCTGGCTACCACCAGTTGAAGATTAAACCGGATGATGTGCCAAAGACTGCCTTCCGTACCCGTTATGGTCATTATGAATTCATAGTCATGCCTTTTGGCTTGACAAATGCCCCTGCCAGATTTATGGATTTGATGAATCGGGTGTTTAGCAAATACCTAGATAAGTTTGTGGTTGTCTTCATTGATGACATCTTGATCTACTCTTCTAGCCATACTCTTCATGAAAAGCACTTAAGGACAGTTCTCGAGACACTGCGAAGTGAGAGGCTGTTTGCTAAATTTAAGTGTGAATTTTGGCTAGATAATGTTGCGTTACTAGGTCACGTTGTGACTAAGGATGGAATCTCGTTGACCCCCAAAAGATTGAGGCCGTGGTTGATTGGAAAAAGCCGAATAATGTTGCAGAAATCCGTAGTTTTCTAGGATTGGCTGGTTATTACCGCTGATTCGTGGGGGATTTCTCTAGAATTGCTCTGCCAATGACTTGTCTTATCAGGAAGGACACCAAGTTTGAGTGGACTCTAGAGTGTGAGAAGAGTTTTTTGACCCTTAAGGAGAAGTTGGTCACTGCTTCTGTACTTGCACTTCCAATCAATGGGGAAAGATTCACTATATATAGTGATGCCTCTAAAAAGGGTTTGGGATGTGTCTTGATGAAAAAAGATAGGGTTATTGCATATGCTTCCCGATAGTTAAAGCCTTATGAAGAAAATTACCCTACCCATGATTTGGAGTTGGCAGCTGTGATATTTGCACTCAAGATCTGGAGGCATTATCTATATGGTGAGACTTGTGAGATTTTCACCGATCACAAGAGCCTTAAATATATTTTGGTTTAAGTACCATTTTGGTCCCTTAACTATCCACTTTGGTACCAAAATTGTCCCTCAGCTTTAAAAGGTACCAAAATTATCCTCAAACTTTCATTTTCGACACCAAAATGGTTCTTCCGTCAGTTAAATGATAGGTGGCACGTTATCTTGCCACAAAATTACATTTAAAAAAAATTAATAATTACGTGGAAAACCAACGTAACGTTATTTGATGAGATGGCATTTTTGTTTTTACATGTGACATTTTTTTCTTATTTAAATAAAAACCCACATAATTTATTATTATATTATTATTATTATTCTTCTTCCTCCCTTCTTCTCTCTTATCCCTCTGCCCCTTCCTCGATTTGCCGAGCCGTGACCCAAAAATTAGCCGGCGCTGCTCGCATTACAGCCACAATGGCCAAAACTCCAAGACATGCCCCAATTGCGGGGTCAAGCTCGTCGGGGTGCA